GTAGTCACGGTCTCCTTTGACTATATTCATTTGGTCTTCCAATTGTTTGATTTTTTCCTCCATCTTCTTCGCTTTGTCCTCTTCATCCAAATCCGGTACATGGTAATAACCCGGATTGTTCTTAAGGTTAAATACAGAGGACGAGGGCTTTGCTTTTGCCGCCGATGAGTCCCCCCGAAGTTCTGGTAAGATTTCAGGTGAGATGACCACTTGTGGGGTAGGTTGTATAGTTACCCCTTCCGATGAACCTGCCCCAGGCACACTGGTCTGTTGTAGGCCAATTAACTTGGCAACGATCTGATCAACCAAGGACTCTTGGTTCTTTGTGATTGTTTCTAGAGTATTTCGACTGTTCTGGTTTATCTTGTCTTCTAGCTCTTTTTGTAGTTTTACCATATTCTCCTTGATTTGTGTAATTCTGGCTTCCATCCTCTTCTTTTTAAACGAGTGTTATGTGGATGGGGTGTGTCCAATACTTGAGGCGGTGTATCCAGTATTTGCTCCCTTTGATGAGACATGTATATATTAGTTAATGTGAATGCAAACAAAGTGCACAAAAAATAAGAAATGCAAAATGTCTAAATATGTGATGCATGAAATGTCTGAGGCATTGATCCAAAAAATGTGCCTGTTATTCTGAATAACCCCTATTGGTGACAAAAGTGTTACGTCTGAAGAGACAAAAAACTCTTTTTGATGGTACGAATCCTGTACAGCTCCTGACAGGTTGATTCGTCTTTTTCACTAGTTGAATATCCTGCCGAACCATCCCGGCTCCTTTGGCTAAAATGTGCAAATAATGAGATGCTTGCCCCCAAAAGGTTTCGAAGGACTGCATCTCCGGCTCTCACTATCTGCCGAGCTTGTTTCTAAAAATGCCATTGGAGCGAGAGAAACTATCCAAAGCTTGCTTCTTGAATTCATCAGCAATGGAATCCCGCTCAGTTAGGGTTTCACCATCTTGTTCTTGTAGTTTTTTTTAAAAGGAGCGACCGGGTCAGTGACCTTTTCCTCGTATTGCCCCTGCAACTTTGCCTTTGAGTATTCTCTGACCACGGCTGGACTTCTGAGCTTTTTATCTCTTTGTATTGTAACCCCTTTGTCCATTAATATTGATTATTCATGTTTAACAAACACATTTTTGGTGGATCAACACCCCGTTTTAAATGATGCGAATGATGAAAATAAAATAAAAGAAAACAAAAATAAAAAGAGTTAGTGAGGTAAATCAAAACAAAATGAAAAAAAATCCTACCCCACATGATATCTACCCCACATGCTTTAATTCCTACCCGGACATGATCTCTATCCCGTATGCTAATTTCAAACAAATCCTAACCGCATATTTGTCTAGTTCGCATGCTTTGAACAGAAAGTAAAGCATGAAATAAAACAGCCTAGGGTTTGAAGTGAGGTTTTGAGGTGGGCTCTAATTCTCCATAGTCTCCCGGTTTAGGTTCTAAAAAGGTACTCGAGTTCTCCTTGCCGGTGCCCCCTTGGGCTTGCCAGACCTTAGTCCTAAGCTCATTACAAGCTTGTGTGGACTAAGTTAAACTCGAGAGGACACATTCCCTTATGCCCATACGGTGAATAAATTCACACGAAGACATAAGGTATATGAATCCCGAAGGCTACTTGCTAGGCATATGCGGTGAATAAATTCACACGAATGCGTCGCTTTCACCCCCACTTAAAACGGGTTCGGAGCTCGGGTTTAGAGCTTAGAGATGACAATTTTGAAAAAATCTGAAATCATTAACAACGTCAGTACAACTATTTATTTGAAAAATAATCAAAGATAAATAATTGGAATCGAATAAATAAATTAAAATTAAAATTTACCATTTTCGCATAAAAGACAACCGAAAATTAATTTCGGCCTGACTCACTTACCTATCCCCAGCGGAGTCGCCAAGCTGTCGCAACCGTCTTTCGGTTGGGCCCCAGAATTGGGCTTCGACTTGAAAATTGTGGATTGGGAGTCGCCACCGACCACTTTAAAACGAATTTAGGTGGATCGGACACCATCTTACCTGATCTGCGTTGTACCAGAAACGTGTCGGGTTCGGTAGTCGGTTACGGTCAAGGAAGGATTAGCACCCTTGAACCGCCCTTTCGGTACCAATTAATTTGTCGGTTGTCTTTAATTGCGAAAATTAGAATTTAAATTAAAATTAAATTCATTCGATCCGAATTACTTACCATTTGATCGGCTGAAATCATGACTGAAACAAAATATGTTAGATAAAAAGCGAAAACAAAATGCTAAAAAATAAAAAATATAAAAAATAATAATAATAATGAAAGAAAGAAATAATAAAATAATAATAAAAGGTTAAATTAAAAAAATATTTTAAAAGTAAAATAAAAAAATAAAGATAAAATTTAGGATCAAATTGGAACAAATTGAGCTTAATGAATTAGAAAATGAACTGCAAAAGAACAAATAAAAGTTAGGGGACCAATTCACAGAATAAAAAATATAAATAGGGACCAAATTGATTAAATCGAAAATTCAGAGGCCAAATTACATACAGTGACCAGATTGTAAAACGATTCAAAGTTTGAGGGATGGCGGAGAAGATTTAAAAATCCCGTAATTTCACTATGGTCCTTCGTATATAATACCAAAACCGGCCTATTTTGAATCATTTCTCTCCATTTTCCAGATTTCTTCTCTCAAATGAGAGATATCTCTCTCAAACAGCCCTTCCTCGGGCGATATCCGGCCACCGTCTGGTGGCCCACTCAGCCGCACCGCCGCCGCCCCGGCCGCCGGAAACAAAACCAAACCTTAGCAAGATGTTCCCCTTAACCCCGTAAACACGAAACCAAGCCTAAAATCCCCAAAAACCCCACCTACCGGAGTAGATCTAAACAAAAAGTCTCGACCTTTTACCTTTCTGGCGACCTTTTCGCTTCTGTTCTCGCCGTGCCCGCTCTCGGTTTCTCTTGGCTTTGGCCTTTTTATGTATTCCTTTACTTGTGTTTGGGGTTTGGCTTCAGTGATGTTATTTTGGCTCTGTTTTCGTGTACTTTAGTACTGTTGATGCTGTGTTGATGTTGTGATGTTCTATGTTTTTGTTGTGTTGATGTGTTTTGACTGTGTGGTACACGATGATGGTTTCTGGTCTTGGTTTCTTTGTTCTCTCGGTGTGCTGTGCCCGATTCTTGGGTTTTCCAGTGGATGTTTTCTGACCCTGGCAGTGACTTGGCCGTGGGTTTTTATAACCCCCGCCGGCCATTGAGAACCCCGGATATTGTGGAGTGCTCGGTTCGTGGTTGACCGACCATCCCGGGATGGGTCAGTCCCAGGATAACGGCCGGCCGTTTCGCTCATGACCCTTGAACTCCCGTGCGGCGCGGTGACTAAACGTGTTTTAGGGTTTCCAAACCCTAAACTCCAACAGGCTGGATCAGGCCTGTCCTACGGGCTGGAGCCGTGCCTGTGTTGGATTAAAAAAACTGGACCCTGAACTTGGACCTGGAAAAGACCAAAACAATAAAATAAAATAAAAATAAAATAAATAATAAATAATATATATATACATAAATATTTTCAAAAACATATAATATATAAATTTCAAAATGTTTTTAAACTATATAATATATGAATTTTTTCAACATGTTTTCAAAAAAAAAGATTATATAAATTTTCCCAAAACGTTTTAAAAACTATATAATATAAATGTTTTCAAAATGTTTTCAAAACTATAATATATATGTTTTCAAAAATGTTTTCAAAAACTATATATATATATAAGTTTTCAAAATGATTTTAAAAATTATATATTATATATATTTTCTAAAATGTTTTCTTTTAAAACTATATATTATATAATTTTAAAAACTATTAAAAATTATATATTATATACGTAGTTTCAAAATATGTATATATATAAATATGTAGGTACATATAAAGGGGGGAAAAAATATGTCGACGAAAATTAGTGTCTACAATAATATTATAATAATGATATTCCTATTTAAATATCTGTCTTTAACTATATAAAACACACACATATATTTCATGCATTTTTTTACGTATATAAGATTTGTAATATTATTTAATAAATATCTTATAAAATTATACAATACGTCTATAAGACTAATTTTTTATAGAATAAAGTAGGACGGAGTCAAAAGATTGATGCAAAGGAAAGATTTGCAGAGTTACAATTACAAGACCAACTTGAATAAAAATATAAATTTGAGAGATTAAATTGAAAAGAGAGAAATTGCAATTATAAATTTCCTCCATTATATCGAGGAACTTGTGATTCAAATATAACAAAAATAAATTTAAAAAATACAAACAATCAGATTACTTAATTAAAAATCAAATGAATGGTTTTAATGTAGTTTATTTTACTCGAATAACAATATCTTTAATATTCAATTATTGAGATTAAAGGGTTGTTTGTTTGGCTATGAATAGAATCATTCAACGTTAAATGCTGAACCGTTTAACATTCAGCGTATTTGTTTTCAACTTCTGAATGAAGACTGTGCTGAATGATTTAACAAAAAATATTTAATGATTCAGCATCAAAGTACATTCTAAATGATTTAAAGTCATTACCAAATAACATGTTACATTCAGAGTTGATTCATACAAAAACTCTAAATTATTCAGGTCATTAAATTATTCAACGTTTAATTATTATGAAGTTATAAGTTGTTAGATTAAACAATAATTTATGAAAAGCGAAACCAGCTAAGGTTTGAAAAGAAACTTTGAAGAAAAATGGAAAAGCAGAAGCAGAGAGATTTCACTAGTCACTTTCGACCATGATTAGAAAAAATTAAATTAGATTAAATTAAAGATGGACAATAAATCAAAGGCTAAATCAACTACTCTTGTCTATGTCACTTTGCATGGTTGGATATTAGCTGTCAAATAACAATTTGTTTATATATATTTTCATTTTTCATAAATTTTCTTCCATAATCTCTTAAAAATTCCTATAAAAAGTAAACAACTTTTAACAAACCAACCCAGTCTCCCACATCTCTTTCCCATACACACTCTTTTTCAGCTTCTTTGAGCCTCTAGCAGGGTTGGGGTTTAAAGTTTTTGCAGATTTTGGATTTTTCTTGAAGTTCTTAACTTGTTTTTTTTTTTTTGCACTAAAGTTCCCTACAGAAAACTTTGCTGTTTTCAATGTTTTCTTGAAGAAGATTAGAACAAAACTGAATTCTGGAATTTTGGGCCTTTCCTCCAATAAACTGCAAAGATCTTTTGTTGAATTTTGGTCCTCAAAATTTTCAACTTACAGTACAGAGCCCGAGTTTCAGCTCTTTGGCCAATGCGAACTTTATGTTCTCGGTGAGTTGCTCAAATCCTTAGCTCTTTTGCTTTAAAGCAGCTTTATTTGTAATGTTTATTCAGTTTTTATACACAAGCATTTTTGGGTTTTTGTTTTTATTTTGAAATGATACTCTGTTTTTAATGAAACTGGAGTGGCTTGCTTGTGAGTGTAAAGCATGCTATTGTTTTGTATTATTGGATGCTTCAATGTTATCTCGAAAAATATTTGTTTAATCATAATTCTGTTGAGTAAAATAAAATTTGGTTGCTATTCTTAAGTCATTTTTATCGATTAAACTGCAAATTAGGTGTGTTTATGGCTCATCCATGCATGGATATGACTTCTTTCTTCTTCTCTTTTTTTTTTTTCAATTTTTCCTGTTCAGAAACTGGTCCCACTAGAGATCGTTCTTTGCATAATCACTAATGATCATGCTTTTTCCACCGTTTGATTAATTGAATCATTTGTAAGTACGTGTATATGATATATTGCTTTAGTTTTGACTTTTTCCAAGAATGGTTTAATTTACATTTTCGTATTGTTTTTCCAGTTTTATATGTTTGTTTTTCATTGATTCATGCAAATATCGTCTGTTTTTAAGCCTACAGTTGATATTTGATTATGGAGATATTGTTTTAAATTATGCTGTTGTGATTAAATTAATGGATGATTATCCGTTGACCAAAGAATGAATTTTCCTCCCACTTTATCATATTCAAATAATGCTAAAGTTGTGAACCGAGAATGAGATTACGTTGATTTTTATGCTTCAAGTTGGTTGTGTTCTTCCATGGATTCTGACTAAAGTATACTGCTCAACTAAAGTATCAATTTTCCATTTTGCTCTCACCTCCCCCGGCGAGGTGAGAATCGAGGGAAAATATGTAAAAAAGTTTGAATAGTTATTTAATCATGCTTACATGGATGATTTCATGTCACATTAGTTAGATGCTGATGATTTCAAGGCTTTCAATTGTTGATTAGATGGTCTTACATTAGTACGATGAATGTTCTTGGACAATCTCCGTCTTTAAGCATTGGATATCTTTGATATTCTTTTCATGACTGTGCAGCTTGATGAATGAGATCAGATGAGTTTCTGATTCTGGTGTTATTTCAGTGTGTGATGCTTTTTTTTTTTACTTTGTTTTAACCAGTGAAAAAGTGATAGAGATCGGAACGATGATGGAAAACAAAAGAAGCCCTTGCTCTGTTGATCATAGCAGTTTCACTTCTTTGGCATCGAAACGACAGAAGTCGGACTTATCGATCCCCACAAAGGTTTTTAGCCTTCTTCACTCAATTTTATACCTCCTCTTCGGAATATATATTCTTCTATAGTCATTTCATAACCATACTAAAGGAACCCCTCACCTTTCTTTTCGAAGGAAGATGCCTAATTTATATCCGCACGGCATAAACATCATTCTTTTGACGTATTTTAGGGGTTATATTCCTGAATATGGTCACGATTGCATCTTCTGTTATTATTATTTTACCTGCAATCTCAATTTGGTTTCTGCATTCTAAAACCAAGTATCATGTTGGATATGGTTGGTTTGTAGCTAATATAATCCTAATTTAATCCATTTCGCAATAGGATAAGAAAGATAAGGTCGGGGAACGAATTGTGACTCTGCAGCAGCTTGTTTCGCCATACGGAAAGGTACATTAATATTTTGTGCATCCAATATATGGGCATTATCAGTTCGGCAATACGGATTTTGTGCAACCACTGGAGTTTTTGCCTACAAACATCGTCTATTAGTACTTAATCGGGTCTTGCTATGATTTTGAAGCTCTATTCGGTTCATTGCAGACAGATACAGCTTCTGTTCTTTCCGAAGCGATGGAATACATACAGTTTCTTCATGAACAAGTTAAGGTCGGTTTTTCTTTTCCGTTTTTCCTAAATTATCATAGCATGTGTATCAGTTGGTTTTAGTTTCAATTTCTAAATGCATGCTTCTAAAGATCAACGATTGAAAATTCAGTGAGCATATACAGCCTATTAAGGCAATTACCAGTTGCCGTCTAGATCCAACATTCTTTGCACAATTTTGGCTTATGATTTTAACGATCATTGTAACGTTATTAATGGCTATGAGCTATGACCATGGTCAGGTTTTGAGTGCTCCGTATCTTCAAACCGGGCCTATAAATAACATGCAAGCGATCATTAAACCGAACCAGGTACTTAAACCATTTGTCAATCCTGTTCACGGAGACTGATTTGGTACAATATCTGTGTTGGATACACCATTTATGTTGAAACACAATAGAAACATGAATTTAAGGAGCCATCATTGAAAACTTATGGCCGGATTTTAAATCGGTTTTTCTTCCAGGATGTAGAGCATTATAGCCTGAGAAGCCAAGGACTATGCCTTGTTCCAATATCGTACACCGCGGGAGTTGCTCGTAGCAACGGTGCCGATATTTGGGCTCCCATCAAGACCACATCTCCTAAATTCGACAAGGCTATCTCACCGTTCAATTGACATTTCTCATCGGCTACCATAGTCTTTGAACATCACTCGAATGGAGTTCAAAAGATAACCAACATGATATCGGATGCACACATTTTCCTAATCTGATGCAAATTTATAGCATGAAGCACTAATACAGGATGTTTGTTGGCAAAAACTATTAGGCCTTGATCGCTAGGATTCTGGTATCAGAAAATGCAGTCCGGCACCTTCGTAGTTTTAAGCCGGTGCTCGGATTAAGCTGCATTTAATCTATTCAATTATAGAAGTCAGTTGCTCTCTCTTGATCGTTTTATGTAAAATGTAGATTGATGAAGATGAGTTGAATGGCTACTTTTAACCTGTATGTATTAATATTGGCGTCGAATCGAATTTCATGGTTAGTATTATCTTATATTGCCTCCTCTCTTCATTTATCTTAAAACATATATCATGTGTTAGGATATGACCTTCAAAGATGATCTAAATACATATCATCATCATATTAACATCAGTGTTAGGATGAATATATATATATATATCTAATTGAATTTTATATGTAAAACTTTTATACGTGGTTAGATAAAAATGGACAAAAAAAATTCTAATTTCAAGGTGGTACCAATGTAGATTTACAAATGATTAACATCAATATTCGATTTTATTTGTTGGAGTGATTTTTTTTCTCAATTTAAAGATTATATTAAATGTAAAGTTAAATTATTTGAGAATTGCATTAGTTTTTTTTAGAAAGAATTTAAAAATCTCATATATATATATATTATTAAACTAAAAATATAAAATTACATTGTAATATGAGATTTATCTTAAAATTCAGGTTATCAGTGAGAATTTTGAGAAGATTTGTCAGTCAAGTAGGGTCACATAAATGTGAAAGTCAAAGTTCAACAATGACTCTAATGCAGAGTTTGGACTTTTTTTTGCTAATTCTAATGTCAAACTTTTCTCACACTACTGTACTTGCTAATTCTAATGTCAAACTTTTCTCACTGTACTGTATTACCACACATGGTGCATCCTCCCAACGGCATTTTGTTAATGCAACTCTAATTTTTTAAATTATAAATCTAATTCTAATTTTACTTAAAAAAAGGAATAAAAAAGAATTCAACCTAATTTAAAAGAATATGAAGAAATAAAATGAGTAGCTTAAGTAATCGACCTAATATACTTTTATTCAGCTATAATTAACTCAAGAGAATTATGTTAATGACGAATTTAAAAATATTTTATAAAATAGATACACATATATTAAAGTAAGTTTGTGCGGGATAGATATAAATGAACATCTATTCATATATATATATTTTAATAATAAAATTGAGGGTAATGCCCCGAAGCATATATTTGTCTCAGTAACTTACATTTATTTTATTTTGTAAAAAGTTAACCATATTGGAATTCCAAATATATCTACTACATATATACACCAAAGGAATTTATATATATATATATATATATATATATATATTTTAAAAAGGTTTGAACTTTAATATCTTAATCTAACAACACATCACATATCACGTTGGATATGAGTCTGACCAAACTATATCCATTTTCCAAAACAATTCATATATTTCAGATAAAAAAAGGGGGAACTTGAGATAACATAGATTGTTCATTAAATATGAACATTAACGTTGCCATTTGCCTATTGCATTGGGAAAATGCATTACATTAATCATTCTCTTTTACTTTCGCTTCCGTGGGAACCTTTTTAAGTTACATTATAACTCTATACCTTGGCAAAAAAAGAAAAGAAAGAAAAACCCTGGTACCTATACATAAGACTAACATCTCCATATAGAACATTACAAAAAGAGATATAAAAGAAATTATACAATAAAATCGGAGGGATTACCCGAGTTAGCTGATATCGTTTGTAACTGAGGGTGGTGACAACGAGTTACTGGTCTGACCTCCGGTAGTATGTGACTCTATATACGAACGGGCAACAACTAACATTGTTTCAATCTCTTTCTTGCACTGCAGAAAGATGGTAAAAAGAATGCTAAAGTCAACATCTTCAAATTTTAAGGTTAATATGAAAGCAGGGAGAATGTTTTCGAAGTATGGGATTTGTCGATATGATCGGTGAAAGCAATACCTCTTCAACAGCGCCCGACTTAATTTTTGATTGCATCACACACCATTTCTTAAAATGTGCGCCTACAGAAAGTTAAAACATCAATTTGTTCAATTCATTGATGTTGAGGAAAAGAAAACACAGGTTTTCAAACTCGAAACTGCTAAAAGATAGTGAAGATGTTCATTACTTTCATTATAGACTGATGCATGCATCGAGAGCTAATATCATGTCGGTAATCGGTATAAGTTGAAATAAGAGACACAAGTCTCTGGAAGGCCATATCTCAACAAGAGTTCAATTAGATGCAAAACTAAAGCCAAAGCAAAAATGTCAAAAAGATGACCCCAGGGGGCACACCACAGTGACTAGAACTTGAAGAGTCCAACTTGGAAGTCTCAGATTGAACTATGTGAAAGTAGCGAGTTGGATTTAGCAGAATGTTAGAGGGTCGTTCATTGTATGGCCATTGATACCATAATCTCTATATGTACCATAAAAAATGTCATTTTAAAGGGAACAATGCTTGCCTGCTTTGATATCTAAAGCAGATGAGTTTTCACCATTGGTCTCTGCAATCCATTGACAATGAACCTGATGCAGAAAAAATAAAATGGTGTCAATTTTAAAGTTGAAACTAGAACATAAATAATAGAACAGAAACAAGCAAACATCACACACACAAAAACGAATATATAAGTTGATAATTCTTCCAAGAGGTTAGAACTGTTACTCATACCAAGTTGTTCACATGGTTTTCAGAACTGGACCGGTCATGCTACCGGTTCACTGGTTCAGCCGGTCGAACCGGTCGAAAGAACCGGACGACATCATAATTATTTAAAAAATTAAATAAAAATACCAAAAATATTTAATAAAAAATAATTTTTTATATCACAAGTCATATTCAAAGCAAGTCATAACATATATAAATTAAAAACCATAAAATCAAGTGAAACAAAATGATTCAAATTAACTACAACATAATATTTAAGGTAAAACATATTAAATAATAAATATAATTATATAACTATAATTAAAAAATAAATTTGGGGTTAAAAAAATCATAACAAAATGATATTGTTTGGTTTAATTTTTTTTAAAAACAATCTCACATGGCTAAGAAACATAGAAGAGCATCCCAAAAGTCTAAAGAGTAAAAATATGAGAACAAAACAATCTCACATTGCTAAGAAACATAGAAGCGTATCACAACTAACTTCTATAAATAATAGAGGTAATTTGGCATTCAAAATCATGGAGTCTTTTGGTGAGCATTGAGTGAACTATTCTTTCACTTCAATCAAGCTCGAATTTTAGACTTCAATCGAGCTTCTAATTTTTTTTTGAGTTCAAGCCTTTTTGAGTTCAAGTTTCAATATTATATTTCGAGTTTGAGTTAAACTTGATAATTTTTAGCTTGTGAGTTTGAGTTGAGTTGAGCTTACTTTTAAAGTTTTCAAGTTCGAGTCGAGCTCAGCAATACTCGAGTTCGACTTGGCTCGTTTTAACAAACGACGTTGTTTGGTTTAATTTTTTTTTTTAAAAAAAAAAACAAAAATCCCGGTTTTTTCCGGTTTTCAGTCGGTCCGGTTCGAACGGTTCAACGGTTCTGGCCGGTTCACTAATAGCGGTTCAACCGGTTTAGATTGAACCGGACTAAGCAACGATTCCCGGTTGAACCGACCGGTCCGGTCCGGTTTTCAAAACAGAGGTTGTTCATACCATAATGATATATCCAACAAATCATAATTAATATCCAAGTATATAAGATACAACGACGGACCCAGAGATATTTTTGAGGGCGGGCACCATCAATAAAGTAAGAAACTAACTAAAGAAAATTCAGATTTCATGGTGGCCACGTGTCCACCTCAAATATATGTGGCTCCGCCACTGATAAGATGTCACTCATATATTTGGTCTAATCTTACATTGAACATAATTCCTGTTGCAGTTGGCAGTGACCAGTTAATCTGCAAGATGGGTCTGATCGTAGCTGACAGGGGTCACTCGTTTTAAATATGACACTATAAAATTTTCCTTTGTCTCACCTTCTTAACTCCACACTTTATATCCGATGGGGAATTAACAGGAAAGGCTAGAAGATGGTGGTTATAGGTTATGATCAATACCAAAAGTGAAGAAAGTTTACAAGCAATTTCATGCAAAGCCAGCAATTGAACTTTTTTTTTGAAGCAAGCAAGTCAACTAATGTGTCAGTTCAAAAGGGAAAATTCCTTCTGCAACAGTTTGAACGGCAACTCCCCTCTTGATTGGACTTAGGTGAAGATAAATGCTTGATTACTAGCAGTGAGGATGATATGCATTATGAACAAACACGTGAAAAGCCAGCAAGTAAAGGACAGTTCCTTTTGCAAAATGAGAGCCACAATTTCCCCTCTTGATTGGACTTGGGTTATTCAGCCGTGCATTATGAAGCAGATTAGTTATCAATCATCTGCAATACTAATGTTAGTTGTAGACACACTTCCTATTTTGTAGTATATACAAAAATTGAATCCAATAGTAGCAATGCTTTCACTAAAAGGGTTGATTTATTCTGTTTCTATGGATCAAAGTTAAGTAACAATCCGTGGATATCTTTTATTTATTTGTTTATTTTGGGATCAGAGGTTGATTTATTTATTCATTGGAGAGACGAACCAAATCAGACCAGAAAATAACAAGAGAGAAGGGGAATATTGCTTGCACAGGCGAAGGTGAGACAACAGGGACCTTGCAGAAAACAAAAATTGGGGGTATAAAACTATATTCCAAATCAAGAAGAAAGATACCCAGCTAATACTTACTTCGAAGTAAGTGCCAAATGGAACATCATGTGCCTGTTGTACAGTTTCAAAAACCTACGAAAAAAAGAGAAATTGACTAAATTCAATTAAATCAACCAAACATTGAATCTACAATAAAGATGCAAATGATGTTATTTCACTAGACATAGAATCAACCAAACATATGTATAAACATTTTTTCACTAAAGAAGTAAGACAACCTTAAGCTTATTAAATAATAAATTACTGAATGGACGAAAAAAAGAGGACATACAAGCTTTTTCTTATCTGATGATAAAACAAAATGTTGATCCTCAGTCATGGCGGTGTCTGGAGGGCACATAGGATTGTTACAAATGGATCTGAATGTAATCTCTCTCACTTGACCTTCATATTCATCTGCATCATGCCACTGACCCATCTGAAAGTAGAACAACAGAGTGAGTTCAAACTTCCAATTCCTTCAACTAGGGATGAGGAAATCCCTGGGAAGATTACCACTAATTTCTATGAGGGAAAAGATGCCATGTTTATACCATCAAAAGTTTGGAGATGTTTAAATAAAGTTTAACCTCGACCGTTGGATTTTACAAGAAATATAAATGATTCTAAGGCAAGCATATCAGCATAAAATGCATTACCATACGAAAGGCATGTTTAATAGAAAAACCATGGAAGAATACTAAAATAATCTTATCTTACTGTAAGATTTTTGTCTTTCCGTGATGAGCGATATTCATTTGTGAAACTAGAGTCATCACTCAATAATAAATTATAAAGCTTCTTAGCGGTGCAGGGAAATACATCCTGCAGGAAACATTCATGAATCATAAGAATACCAATTCGCATCATGATAAAACCCACAAAGGCAGGAAAAGATAGGATGCATACATTGTAGATACCAACTAGAACTTGTTCTTTGATAAAAGGTATTTTTTCAGTTTTAGGTTTAGATTCTTTATCTGGAGGAGTTGGAGCTTGCCTTCTACTACTGCTTGCACGCAATGCTGACGCTGCTCGCTCCTGCATGTTGGCAAAATAAATCAAATAAATATATTTTTCGTCTAATCAGTTCGCTCAAAGGGGAAAAATAAACATAAATACAAGAAACTAGGATTGAGACCAGAAACAATCATTTTGTGAACACGAAAGCAAGCAGCAAAAGCAAAAAGTTGAGAGCTGTTATAATATTTGTTTTCACAACCAATTGTATTCACCCTGCTCATTCTCATTGATCTAACCACGTAACTTTTTTTCCTGGGTAGTTGAAACGCATCATTGAGGCATATCGCAGTCAGAACACAGCCTCCTAACTAACCACTAAATTGTATCAATTCAATTAAGAACTTCCTTTTATTATTCAGCTTTTACAATCTCTCCAGCCACATATTCCCATCTGTTTTTGAACGCAAACCAGCATTTCCCTACTGTTCAGCTTATATAAATAAAATTTCCCAATCTCCGATCTTTACCACCTTTCCTGAGCTCCCATAGTATTCCCAAGTTCTCCAATCCATCTCAAGCAAAACTCTTCCCTTTTCACCCAATTTTCTAGTGAGTTCCGATTATGGAGAAAACAAGTAAATGCTCCTCTATCACAGTAGATGGAGAAAACAATGAAAATAAGATTGTTTCAGCACTAAAGGAATATCAAAGGCCATTCTTTTGGGGAGAATGAAATGCCTTCAGCTATTATTTTTCAGTGTTTCTAAAGATGGTAGGAAAACTAATTTTCTTTCCATATAAAAGTGATCACAAAAAATCAGGAGTGAAGATCTGCAAAAGAAAGAATCAAATAAGAATTAACGGATCACAGGGAGCACACGCAAAAAAAACCTTCTTCTCAGCTTCCAACATTGCATGGTAGTTTTTGGTTGCACGCTGCAATGCTCGTACTGTGTGGTTTCTGTTCCAAAATGATGCAAATCTATACCTGACTCTACCTGAAATAAGAACAAGATAGCAAAATAAACACACCTTCATTCAATTCATGCTACAAACAGTCTCACTCGTGCAATTTGGGTATTCCTTACAATGTAATAACCTAAATATGGTTTTTAAAATGAAAAGATTTTTGAATGGGTAACTGTAAAAAAGGGGGCAAACCGAGTGTGCAACCCATCATCCAGTACAAACGACCAAAATAGAAGTAAATATAATTTTAAATGATAAAGAAGAGTGATCCTTCAGAATGTGATATGTATCTTTCTTTAATGGAACAAAAAAACCTTTTCTTATTCAATAATATAATTTTGAGCACAAAATGCAAAACAACCATCAAAATAAAATTAAAGCAAAAAAATAATGAAAAAATGTATATTTTTGTATACAACTGTAGTATTTTTCACGTGCAAACAAAGCACGACAAGATTGATAGGCAAAACCTGTTGCCATCAGTTCACCACCAGAGTGTACACAAACTTGTAGGAAAGACAGGAACGAAGCAGCATTGTCAAGTATTATGTACAACAACTAGCCATTGGAATAAAAATCATAGAAACAAGAAAGAACTAGGGTAGTATGACATTTGATAAACATAATGTTATAAACATTCTAACTGTGAGAAAACTTCTCCAGAGTTTCCGAAGTCCAAAAAATCTTATATTTGTGATTCATTGTTATGTCTAAAGCTAAAATAAAAATAATAAAAAATCAGAATCAAAGTTAATGATTTGAAATGCTAAAAGGAAGAGAGTATTTTGTCTTTGAAAACGTAGACCTAATATAAACTTTGTAAAACATAAGCACTAAATTTCAAAAAGGATTCGGTAATAAATAACATATGAAGCTTCTGAAACATGGTGAGCATCTCGTTGTAGAAAAAAACTGTCGTACAAGGTAACCAAAATAAAGACATGTATTCCCCTGTGTGAAAGTGGCTAATCCTCCACCAACAAGTGATTGCATTGCACAAGTAAATGAGCTTTGTAAGTCACTGGGAAAAAAAGGCTGAAGGTAGCACACTAGGTTGACATAAAGTCTACCATTCCATGTTGTAGCACAACCACCTTCATTGTGCAGAATATGTATTTTTCCATTAGGTTCAGTCATTCCAAAAGTGGAGGGCATCAAAGAATTCAGGTCCAGCGGGTGAGTAAAAATTTGATTTGTTTGCAGGTAAGAAAGATGAATAAGTACGTTACCATGGTTGAAAGGTAAAGTCCAAAAAGGCTTAAAGAAATAGAAGGTAGTTCTGTTAAACACCCAACTTAGAACTAATAGCAAAATTGAATACAAAGACAAAACGAACTTTAAATGAAGCCAATGTGAGATGAGACGACTTAACAGTTATTAGTTGAACAAACTAAAAGATGAATTTTAAAATCATTAGCCCAAGAAGATATAAAATAATAACAATGGAGAGAGCTGGAAAAGTAAAAGCATTATTTTCCATGTTGTCATCTATTTTGTTTTCTGAAAATAGCAGCCACTGCTGTGAGTAGATCCAAGAATGTTACCCTATTCTTCGTGTGCCGTAGCATTAGTTCCTATTTGTCTGGTAGCAGGAGAATAATGAGGAATGAAACATATATGCCCAACTGTTAATCAGTCTCTAAGTCACATGCACTGAACTTCATCCTTTTTACAACAGAAGAGAATGAACATTGATAATGGTGCCACATTTGTTTATTTTGTAGCTTTGTCAAGTGAAATGTATAAGGGCTTTTCTCTCTTCTGTTATCTTATGCTCAACTACTACTTCCTTGCAACCCATTAAGCAAGGACAAATCCTTATGAAGCAAATATGCAATTAAAACCTATCCATTTAAATTAACGAAAACTAAAATTTACCCAATGAGCTTTTGACTTCAATTAAATATAAAATTCTATTGCAGTTCAATAAAAAATAAGGAGAAAATCCTATTACATTGGCCAAAATTTATACCCAGACCAGAATGCAATCAAAACAACAAATTTGGTAATCTCAAGTTGATAAGTAACTCATAACGAGCTAAGAAAGGACATAATACTCTGTTCAAAATCTTGAAAGAGTAAATCCTAAAGCTCCCATGCTTAGTAAAGAATTTAGTTACTAACCATCAAAGCTCCCTAATGGAGGTACACCATGCCCACCCGCACCCATCCGAAGAATTATTGTTATTGCAGGATTAATGAATGCATGCTGACTCTTACGGATCTGCATAGACCAAATAAAATATTATACGCATAAAAATTCAAAATTTTCTCCAACTTGGTCTTGGTCAAGAAAATGCATGTAATACTTTACAATAATTCTCTTTTATGCCACAAAACAAACTTTTGACGAGTGCTGACCAGAAAAATATAGCATACCTCATCTATATTCTCGAATGGAATTACCACCTGTTATTTAAACAAAAATTGTTAAAGATTTGAACATATACCTTTCAGTTTATAGTAACGTAGAAAGTGTCAAATATACAAAAATTCCTATCTTTTTAGTTAGTTTAGTCTTTTTCCCCTTTAACGAAGGAGAATAAGGGGATTAATGCATCTCTGGATCTACAATTACTAACTAAACTCACTATTAAGTTTCAACTTATCTTATGAAAATGATAAACCTTTAGTAATTAATGCAACAAACTGGTAAGCTAACCTTAATTTGTTTGGAGAACACATTAGAATGGAAACATATGTGCCATGCAGAGACATACATACGACCATGGTACAAGAATGATCTCTCAAGTGCACAAGAATAACTATGCTCCACAACCTGAAAGAAATGTCTGTTTGTCAACTGCAGCTAGAAGTGATGAAACTGGATTGCCCCAGAACTACTATCTGTTACTCTAACCATATCATGCCCAATTTATTTATAAATAGCTCTAGTTAGAAATACATTCTATGAGACTTGCCTCATCTGGATGGAGGTTAAATATTGTCTGTAAAGGTCCTGGCTTTTGATGAACCACTGTAGGGCCTTGTTTTTCTGAAGTAACCCTTCTTCGAGCTTTAGCTCCAGCTCCAGCTCCAGCATATCCATTTACTCGCCTGTCAACAGAAGCTTTCAAACTACTCAATGAAATATAGAGACAATAAACATGATCATACCTGTATTTTCCATTAAGAGGAGCTAACATATTGAAATTTTTTTAGCTTAATTATTTTCAATTTTAGCGGATATTAGTATAAGAAGATGCAAAATTACCTGGAAGAGTTTACAAGTGATTTTTGTGTTGTAATATGTAGACAAACCTGAAAAAGGTAAAGTTGATCTTCATAAGAACTAATAAATGATGTAAAGAAGCCAGAACTTGGGAATGTAAGAACACCTGTCCAGGTTCCCTATCTAATGTATGCCATACTGGGGTGCTTTCACCTTCATTTTCAACCGGAACAATAACTGAACCAAGAATTGCACTCTTCCAAACTATATCCCAGTCATATATTGTTACATTTATCTGCAGGGTGAATCAAAATGACACTCTTAGACAAACCATGCCACGTAGGAAAAAAGAAAAGGAGTTTTAAATGTAGGTGTCTTAGTATATTTATCTTTTACAAACAGGTCCTTTATTGTTACTCTATTTCACCTTTTTATATGATAATTCAACATTTCACCTTTTTATATGATAATTCAATATTTCACCTTTTTATATGATAATTCAATATTTCACCTTTTTATATGATAATTCAAGTGATTTCTCAAGTTACAATAGGTAAAATTCCCTTTGATTAAAATGCCAAGAATGAGAAGAGTAACAGCTGACAAATATGGTCTTAGGGACATTCATGTTACATGAATTGGACCAGCAAAGATATAATCACAAATTGGAGCAGCAACTTCATAGAAATAAGTGACTGTAAGATTGGTACAATTCTATGAATATTTAATTTACTTAAATGTTTTTTGTTTACTTGTTCGAGAACCCTAATCGTTGGTCACCAAGATTATGAACCCTATAAATATGTAATGTTCTATGGCAATTTTTCTGAAGCAATCAAATATAACAAAACCTTTTGGAAATTGTATGGAGGTTGATCCCCTCAGAGTGATCAAAATTTTATTTTTTCTTGTTAATTTTCCCAATTCCCTTTTGATAAACCCTAGGTTCTTATCATTCTAATAGAAAATGGATCCTTTAAAACAAAAATGGTGCTAAAAGAATTTTGAACACTCATTCTAAAGCACCAGTGACGTTCATCGTGTAAAAGCACCACAAGAAGAGAAATAACAAGGTTTAAAGATCATTACAACTTACAAGTAGAGGAGAAAAAAATTAAAAGAGGGAGGGGGAAGAGAGAGAGAGGGCGAGAGAGAGAGAGGGGGGGGGGAGAGAGAGATGGATTCTCACCAACAATATGAAACTAGGCTCATTAAGCTCCCACATAAAATGCATATCAGATAATCTAAAAGAATGAAGAGTTCTTTTTCTAAAGGAAAACATTAGTTTCTCTATAACACTTAAAATATAAAAGTATTCAACCTATTATACATCAATAGGTTAAACCAATCCTTTAAAGTTTTGTTTCAGATGAAGGACGGAAAAGACGGATCATAGAAAATTTGTTACTCAAAATTTAGCCAAAAAGCTGGTATGTATCTGGAAGTTCAAAAAAATAACTCTGTTGGACTAAAAAATAACATGTACAAAGAAGCAGGAAGACAGGGATAATGCTTCTTTCTGGTGATAAAATAATTTGATTTAAATCAGAAGCACATGCTAAAAAAATGAACCCGTGGTGTCGTACAGAGAATTCATGTTAAACAAAGAAATCATGTGTGAAAATGTCCAAATGCTGCCTATAACAAGCATAACTTATAATATAAACCTGGACAGGAAGCTCATCAACGTAGAAATTGAACTCCTCTCCCCACATGGGGTTTCTTGAGCCGGGGATCATTGAACTACAACAATAACAGAAGTAAATTCTTAAGAAATGTAAACGCTATAGAGGTACATAATAGTATATTAGTTTTAAACAAAAAACTGTTCTTATGCAGAAGCACAAAGCTATATTTTTGGACATTGATTAGTTCTCGAATACAGCATTGTTGAAAGGAAGTGTTATGCTTAAATCATACAATTTCATTAATTTAAGGTTTATATATGTATTGCATACATGGTTTCTCCAGTTCATCAAAGAATAGTATCAATATCACCGACCTAAGATCAAAAGATCCAAACAACAAAATGAACTTTGTGATTTCTTTAGTTATCAACCTTTAACCCCATCACTAGTTTTAATTCATATGAATTCCGTATCTTTGTCCTTAAGCCAACAGATTTTACAAAAGCTTCAATGCACCACAGTTGAAATTTCATCTATCCAATACAAGATAGGAAACTCATAAATTCCATCAATCCACCTTTGACGGGGAGTGTGGAAAACCGCCGAGATACAAAGGCTGTCAAGATAAAGTATCATAATTCTAATTCTAAATTGCAATTTACTTGGACTTTATGAGTATATTTTATCTTCTTAAAATATAAAATAAGCTTTTTTAGGAGATAAAGGTTAGGAAAAAGATACCTAGACCTAGTAGTACCTTACATCTATAGTTATCAGCCTATTTAAACAGGCTGTTTTTCTTTTTATCTTTTCAGCCTGCAATTATCGAACAAGACCTATGTTCTTTCTTCTTCCGAATTCTCACCTTTCTTCTTCCTTGGATACAACTTTAAATCCTCCAAAGCCAAAAAAAAGCCGGTGATGATGGTAATGACCATATAAAGGACAAAAAAAGGTGCTGTGTTATTATAATGTGAGAAATATGCTGCTATTCCCAGCTAGTGCATCTTCTGTTCACTATTTGTCTAGCCTACTTGTAATCCGAAGAAAATAAAGAATATTTAGATGAAAAAATATTGCTAAAAAGAGATGGAAATCGTCATCGTCAGAAACTTGTACTGGGAAAAAACAACCTGAATCTCTTTTCAGAACCACATGTAATGATAGCATAAGGATCTGATGTGCCATTCAAGTTTGCACCAATGAGATTCTTGGCTGCCAGCAATTCAACCTGGAAAAGTTAAAAAAAAAAGGAAAAAACAATCTCATTTTGGATTCAAAACAAGCCTTGTTACATGACATAAAATCACAGAAGTACCTTGATTGTATAGGCAGCATTGGTTGGAAGATCTCCTTTGAACTGGACTATCTACAAAATAAGTGCACAACTGCATGTCAAAGAAGTGGAAAGTTACTCCATGAAAAGAGCAGCACCCAACATTGTGAGCTGTAGAACAATAAGATTAAAAATGTTCATGTTTACCAATGACATCAAGTTCAATAGCTATAGCGGTGCATTCAAGGGAAAAAATCAAAATTAAACCTAAAATATATACTTTTAACAGATATATTGAATAAACCAAAAAGTGTATAACGCCAAGCAGAGAGATTCTTTTTGCCCTTCATCAGAGGAACATCAATATCCATATTCTTACATATTTTACCAGCAATAAATCATAGACATCATAAAGAAGAAACTAAGCAATTTCCCGTGATGTAGGCATATAGTGTACCATTGTGTTCTATTCAAGACAAAATAGCCTAAAAGAATTCCACAAAATCCAAGACAAATGGGTATAGGATGAACGAAAATCTAATCAAAATAACCTTTCAAAAATGTGCACTCAACATATATTCCATAATTGAATAAAAAGAGAAACCCAGAAAAGAAACTCACTTCTGAACTAAATAAAATAAAATTTACTAGGAAAAATTATCACTGAACAAGGGACATGAAATAAGCTTCACTTAAAGAAATCAATAATGTCTTAGAATTTTGATTAATTAGAAAACAAGGAAGAGCTCAAGATAATTAACAAGAAAAACTTGATTCTTATTAGTATTGGGAAAATACATAAAACTTCACCGAGAACCAAAACTAACAAATTAAGAATTGAGCAACTAAATTGACATTGAAAGTTAGCCAAAACTTTCAGAAAATTAAAATAGAAAAACGTAATTGTTACATAGTGAATAGAAGATACACAAAAAATCAACCAAAATATACACACAAAAAAAAGGCGAAACTGCCTGCAGCCAATGCAACCGTCCATAATCAAAATGCATAAACAATTAAAATTCAAAAAAATAAAACCATCAAAATTCACTAAAACAAAAAAAAAAATCTTTAAAAGGAAAAAAGAGAAAAATGACCTTGTCTTTATCGTCAAGAATAATGTCAGCAGTAAAATTCTCCTGAAGCAGCGATCGATCACCGCCACCTCCATTTCCAACTTGGAATGTATAAATCCAATAAGAAAGGATCAAGAACAGCGACGTGGCCACCGCCACTTTGACCTCCCACGAAGACGGCACCAGATATTCCACCACCAACGCCGTCTCGATCATCATTAATTAACTTCCGTAACTATTATTTCTAATAAGATTATATTAAATTAACAAAATAATTTGAATAAGCATTTTGGTTGAAATTTGGAAGGTTTTAATTTTAGGGTTCTTTGACTTGTAAAAGAAACAATCTGTGGATTTTGGGGGAGAGAGCCAAAGAAGGAGACCGTTGGAGGTTGATTGGCTTGGCAATTAACACTTGGAAAAGAATCGTTAGTTTTTAATGACTTAAATACCCTTACTCTTTCACTGTAATAAATAAATGCCTGGCTTTGTTTTGTGGTTTTGGTGGGTGCGAGGGGTAATTTGAACAATGGATTTGAAAATTTTGAATAACGGATTAGATAATAAGTCCACAAAATTATATCTGTATTTTTTTTCTTGAAACTTATATATTTACACACGGAGAGATATTATTGGCCAATGGCATAATTTTATAATTACCCCAAATATTTGTATAAATGGTGGTTTATCTTTTTTATTTATTGTTTTACCATTAACGTTTTAATTGATAATTAAAACACGTCATACTAGATGAAAATAATTAATTGACTATAGATCAACATGTAACATATCATTTTCACATATTATCAATTAATGACGTGATATGTATCACTTCAACTATAGTGATAATGTGACATATGTCATGTTACTCAAAATGATAAGTATAACACAAATCATATTAACAATTGAATATATATGAAAATGTTACGTTAATAATATGTGTTTAAAGTTAATAAACTAATAGTTTCCATCAAATAGTAGTTGTTTTGACAAAAAATAAGATGTCAAAAAGTAAATTGATCTAAATAAAGAATAGGGACAAAGTGATCATTTGTGCAAACGTTAGAGGGTAATTGTGTGATTATGCCTTGGCCCAGACATGTAGAATTTTATATTAGAGGGTGCAAACTTAAAAATATAAATTTAAAGGTATAATATTATAAAGGTATACAAACTAAGTGACCTTAGTGGTTAAAAGAATGATTGATTTCAAGTTTGAGCACTAGTGATTGCACCAGGTTTTTAACCTTAGTTTTCTCTTTTTTTCTTTGTGTTATTGTTGGTTTTTTTATCTTTGTGACCGACGACGACAATAGTCATATTCATTATTTTATTTTATTTTGTTTTATTATCATATCTTTATTTTGTTTTCTTTTTTAAAATTTTTAATAATTATGTCTTTATAGTACATTTCTTTATATCTTTTGGCACAAGACATTTGACTGTTATTTTCGTTTATCTTTTTTTTAGTGTTAGATTGACATCGTCACGACTTATTAAAATGAAGCTTATTTGTTATTATATTGATCTTCTCTTATTTTGACCCTCATATTGGATTTAAATACGTTATTTGTGTTTGTGAATAGTTTTCTCACGTCACTCGATTCTGATTTGTGATATGTTGGGTGATATTTAATAACTTTATCTCTTTTGTGACTCATTTGCCGATGCAGTCAAATCTGTTTACATCTACATTTTATTCAAGTTTTATTTGGTCAATTTTTTAATTTTTTCCTTATATTATGTTTATGTGATATTATGTTAACAGTGATAGAAAAATGTCCTTATGATTAGAAGAGAAAAATTAGGATGAGTAGGTACTTCATTTTCAAAGAATAGTAATTTATTCATGTCCAATGTATGAATACAACTCTAAAAAGATAAAAGCCAGCTGAGCTTCCCTTTCATAGTCTTGGCTTACAATTACATATGTTGGCCAAACCTTGTAATTCAGGATTCAGATTTCGTACATTCAATAAAATCAGTCTGTGTAATTCCAAAACAGGGGAAAATGTCGTGAGACAAAATAAATTTTCAAGTTTAATTTTCAATTTGTGTATTTTCATGATGTCAACAGAACAAAAACTTGAAACAACCAATTCATTGGTAAAAGTCAAGAGACGAGATAAAATTAAAATATCAATAGTTCAAAAGTGATTCTCAAACGAGAAACTAAGTGAAATACCAAGCATTTTGGCATATCTGAAGTGAACTGAACACCATCCTGCAATACAGCATATGAAAAAACCCACCATATATGATCTTCATAAGTTGTCGCTTCTATGAGTGATGGCATGAGTATAGTGAGCCATCCTAGAACAAGCTATAAACACTAAAAATGAAATGCATATAGAGTCACATGATTAAGACAAAAATGAGTGAGATCCCAGACACAGTTCAAATGCCAAAATCATTGCTTGTACTTGATGAAAATAATCTTGGGTTCATCTAGAAATCTTCGAATTTGAATCTCGAAGATTAGCCTCTGGTGAGATTAATGAGAATGGGAGAAAAGCAAATCTCATCAAGTGGCCATAAAAGATCTCTTCTCATTTCAAGCCAATTGTGGCTGTTCTTGGGAGATTTGAGCAACTTTCATTCGTTTTCTGTGTCCTCAACAGCTTTGTTGAATGAAGCAGCAAGGTACTCTGCAAGACTTTGTTGAGAGTTGAACTTGTTTGAAGAAGCCTCTGAAACTTTAGCCTTCTTTGGGCCAATGGATTTCGGAAGCCAGGAATTTGAGGTGCCCAGAGTGCTCGAACCATCCATTCCAGCTTCTTGTCCTTTCCATGGAATAGGTTCTAAATGCTGCCAAGGATCTTCCAACATGGATTCATCAAAGTAACTCTCTGGCCCTAATATCCTGTTTGATGCTGAGCTACGACCATGAAAGCCTTGTCCTCGTCCGAAACTTCTTCCTAAACCAGGAGTGCTGCTCCCACTGTATCCATGACTCCTGCCTCTTCCTGGACTTAAATAAGGATTACCTCCAGATCCTTGATCAAGGATAGGTCTGTTACCAAACATTCGAGGCCTGGCTGTTCCATAGTTGACACTAGGTCTATCTGCTAGAGAAATGCCAGGGCCGCGCAAATTACCATAAGTTGATGTATTAGAAGGATTCCAGGCCATTTGAGAAGTTCCAGGATGCCTGGGAGGATTACCAAACATTCCTCTCAGTGTTCCATCAGAAACTAAGTTATAATGATCAGTGGCTTGTGATCCATTCCAAGCATCAGATTGGCCTTGATGCATGAGTGAAGGACTTCTTATTCTTGGGTTGTATGGGCCATGGTTGTATACAACTTGAGCATGCGAAAATTGGCTTTGCATCTGATGTATAGGCAAATCCCTATTGAAGTTCCTTGGTTCTGTCAAACCAGAATAGTAGGCCGATCAATTAGAAAAACAAAAAAAGAACACCAATTCATGCTAATTGCAAAATTAGAGAAATTTCATACAACTAGTTTTAATCAAAAACTCATTCACAGAAAAAACTAGTAGGAAAAAGTGTACCGGGATGGGACGGTGCATGCCAACCACTGGTAGTTGGCGATGTAAAAGATTGTTGCACATTCTGGTTATGAATGTTGCCCCTCTTCTTGTTAGCAGAAAATGCTGCCATAGGGTCAGTATAGTAGTCGAAACGTGGAGCTCCACCAAAGTCATTCTCCATAGTCAATGGTGTCTCGATCAATGGATTCGAAAGGCAACCAGGCATTGCAGAAGTCTCGACGTCATTAGACACTTCAGCTTCCATGCGCATTGCTTTCAACCTTTCCTTTCTTTTCTCAGATTCATCCATTTATCTAGAAGAAGGAACGTGCAAACTTCTTAATAATGATATCACCTAGCAAAATCTAAAAAAAACAAATCGTATCTTCTGTGCATAAGATTCTGAAGCTTTTGAAGGATGGAAATAAGTTTCAACCTATATCTTTTAAATTTACTTAATTACAACTCTTATCCACCTGATAAAATTGACCCAGTTATCAGTCTCACTCGAATTTAAGAATGTTAAATATCACAAATGACAATATTTCCACCTGCAAACCATATTGTTCTCTCTAACTTTTCAAAGAAGGCAGAGAGTAGATAACACAAAACGAACCATAACTCGCATGAGTCGAGTAGAAATCAGTGTTCAAATAAAGTTTAGGGTTTGAAATATTACCTTATTAAAATTTCTGGTCTGTTGGAAACTGCAAGGCAAGATAGGGGTTGGGTGATGGACCGCAGGAGGAAGAGAGGGCGGGCAGAATAAAGGTGAGTGGGAATAAACAGTAAGAAAGAGAATATGAAACCGGGACAGACCCGTGGTGAGAGGCGTATTTGGCGACGGCGAAATATTAGAAAACTTTCTTCTTTTCTGATGATACAGAATTTTTAATATAAGTTAAATTTATATAATTTAGGGTAAACTATACTATGACCACCTAACTATTTAGCCCTTTTATTTCCGCAACCAATCTTTTTTACCAATTAGACTATCTAACTATTTAATTATTATCAATTAAACCACTCACCATTAATAATTGACGGAAATACTCACGTGGCTGTTAGAAATATTATAATTATACATAGTCTCTAATATTTGTACAGTCCCTTATTTTGGTCTTAATTTAAATTTAATTTAATAAGGATCTGATATATATTAACACAAGATCATAACATGTGTTGTTAGTAACATGTATCAATATATAATTGAAAAAATTTATTTATTAATTTTAATTTATTTAATTAAATATTTTGATCTAAATAGGAGCTGACAATTGTCATCACTCGATTGGATAGAAAATAAATGGATAAAAAACTGATCTTAAATAGATTCAAACCAAAGTCCAAACGGAGACCGAAGAAGTACCCTTACCACTGCACCAAATGTCCCCGATGTAGATTGTATTTACCCTTTAAAAACTTGTTAAGGGTAAAAAAAATTAAAATTAGAACTTATAAAAATTAGAACATAAAAGAACACATAAATAATTAAAAATATAATATTTTATTTATATCTAAATAAATTGTATATATATTTAAATTGTAATTAATGGCAGATTTACAATAAAAAATTAATGGCTCATGTGACAATTTATATAATATACGATATCCAAAGAAGCTCGTTACCTCAACTTGACAAGTACTTGTACCTATAACCATTGTTGTATTTTCCAAAATAAGAGTTGGATCGGTTTAATACTCTATATAATTGACCCACTTGTGGTATTGTGCCAAAAAAAAAAAAGCTAGATTGTTAGTCTTTACTAGCTTTTCTATTCGTACCGTATATCTCTTAATGATTTTATGTATATTTACACAAGGTTTCTCAATATTATTTACAAAAAATAATATTTTTTTGTTATATAGAAATAGGATTGTAAATGAGACGAGACAGATCGTGAACTACTCGAGATCGATTCGATCAAGGCTCGATAAATATTCGGATCGAATGGACTCGACTCGAGTTCTTAACGAGCCGAAACGAACTACTCGATATTCGATTCGAAAAGCTCGTGAGCAGCTCGAAAAAATGTTATATTATAATTTTAGATTTTTTAAAATTATAATATTAAAAATACATTAATGATAATTATAAAATTTTAAAAATATATTAAAAATTCTATAATACAACTACCTCAAATATTAATTTTTTTTTAATTAACCAGCCCAAGTCCAATTGTTACATTGTATATTACTAAAAGAAAAATAAATGTTCATTTAATTAAGCATATGTTAGATTACATGTGTTTTGTTGATTTTTTTCTTTATTTTTTAACTTTTTACTGCACAAGTACTTGACAACGTAGAAAAATAAAATAAAAAATAAGAAAAGACAGCCAAACAATAGAAAAATCGAAAATGGTTATTTTTTGAATAAATATTCTTATATTTATTTTTTAATTAATAAAAAAAATTATTTATCTAATGACAAATATTTAATATATTTCTAATGATAAATATTTAATATCAAGATACTATATTATACTTACCTCATAAATCGGTACCAAATCGATTAATTAATGTATTTGTAATTAACCTTAAATCCTAAATCATAAACCTTAGACCATAAACCATAAACTCAAAACTCAAAACCCTAAACCCTAAGCCCTAAATCCGATTATGTGATAGGGGTTAAATTATGCACATGAATGTAACATACAAATTATACAAAATGATATTATGTGACTCCTAAATAAATCATTCGCATACTTATACATAAACATATCAACATGCAAAATAAATATACACTAAATATCGACACGAATTTCAAGAAGAAGTTAAACCAAAAAATGAAGAATGTATGTAGGATTTAGAATTGAATTACAAGCAAATGACTATAAATAAGGAGCAAAGGATATATTTCAATCAAAATTGATGATTATTAAAAGTAATAAAACAGGTGTTCTTACAATGACAAAATCACAAATTAGCATACTCAAGTTGAAAAAAAGTGTGCTTTGCTGAATCCAACCAGTTTCATCTAAAAACATAAAAAGATCTTACAATTTGAGAAATCAAGATTTAATAAGCTCATAATATGAAATTATGTGATAAACCCTTACACAAGTAAACTTCTTGTATAGAGAGTGCAATTAGAATAAGCAACCATTATAGAAAGAGTTTTCATTTCTGGTCATCATACATTTAATACAACGTTATCCACCCATAACTGATAGAAGAACATACATGCACATAACTAAAATTTCATGGAGCAGAGACGAACCCCAAGATCTTATAAGGTTTGCTCAAACCGCTTGACAGCCCGAAGACCAGCAGATGAGCTTGCAGCTTGGACCATTTGCTCTAGTGCATAAGTTCTCAATATACCCTAAGCTGAAAATTATATCAAAGAAGTGAAAGAACTCTACACGAGCAAAAAGAACCAGTAACACTTTAGAAAATCAAAACAAACATTCTTCCATACAAAAAATTCCAAGAAGTAATCGCCTTAGGTACTAATCAGACCATAAAAATATTAGAAGTAAAAAGAAATGAAATATCAAAAGTGAGAACATATAGTATAAGTCAAATTAAAAGTTTTACTGATAACAGAAGTCATTTCTCATTCTGAAAATTTTTTTAGTCTTTGATGGAGAAAGAGAAGAGAAAACATAAGACCACATGGTGCACATACCATATGCAAGGAACCACGAGTAGAGGAATTATCAACAATTACTGAGGTTGAAGGTGCAGCAGGAGCTTGAACATTGGATAGAGATATAGTATCTCCAGGATCGATAGCCCTCTCAGCACTTTCAGGACCGATATATGAGGTAATGGGCAAATCAGGTTCTTCAGCAACCACAATAGCAGCTTGTTCATATGATACATACCCATGCAGCCATACGTGACTCAGCTATTCTTTTGCTTCTGCAAGAACCTGCATAATAAAACTATAGACCAGTGAAGAACTATAGATGTTCTTCCAACAAGCCTATACGCAAATAAAAGAAGGGAAAATCACATAATAAACAGCAGTAAAATGTTCCAAATAAAAAAAATATGCACCTCAGCGTCTTTCTGCTCTGGTGTTTTTGATATCCCACATCGGTGGTTATTGGGGGAATAAGGGGTAAAGTGAGTGTATAAAAGGGGATGGGTTTCAGCAAATAAATATTAACATGTTTTCGAGCTTGAATTGAGCTTCAATCGAGCTCCTGATTTTTTTTTGAGTTCAAGCATTTTGGAGTTAGAGTCGAGTTTCAATATTATATTTCGAGTTCGAGTCGAGTTTGAAAATTTTAGGCTCGTGAGTTTTCGAGTCGAGTCGAGTTTACATTTAAAGTTTTCGAGTTCGAGTCGAGCTTGGTAATACTCGAGCTCGACTCAGCTCGTTTGCACCCCTATATAGAAAACACACATATAATTAAAAGTGTCTTTTATAAAACACGTATTATATTACGTGTGTTTTATTTTATGTCACATAATCCGTTGGAAAAGAAAAAAAAATATTTTTATAAAATATATATATTTAAATTTTATGGATTTTAATTTTAAGATTGAATAGTTTAAGGTTTTCAAGTTAAGAGTGAAGAAAATAATATCAACATACAATAAAGAAAATATCATAACGGCTAAGAAAATGACAAAATACATTAGACGATGCACATCAATTACGATGATTAAGTGTCTTTCCTTTTGAACTTGGATTGCCATTTCATTTTCCATTAAAACAAGAAAATCTAGAAACACAATCAAACAAACCAATTCATCGGCAAAGAGTCAGGTAAAACAACAGTCACTCAAACCAAAGTGAAATACCAAGCATTCTGTCATCTCAAACTATCCCAACATATTCCTGTTAAACTACAGACAAGGATTGTAGTTGCGTTTTCGGTTGTGTTTTGGCGGACATAATGAGTGCTATTGTGGTCATTGCGACTGTCATACAATAACGGTTTCAGACAACACTAAAACAGCTATTCAAATCCCTGACAGCGGAAAACACCACCATATCTGGTTTCTAAATTTCTATTCCTGGTCAGTTCTGCATGTAAAGGCTAAGAATAAACTGCATCCCTACAACGACCTATGAACACTGTAAAGGAAATACGTGGAGTTACTTGATTAGACGATTCTCAAAAGTTTTGCTTGTCCTCAATAAAAATAACCTCGGTATTTCGGCGATCCGCATAAGCATTTCTTTTTTCCATAATCCGCTTCGTTATTTTCTCTTTCATCCGAGTGTGGAACGCCGCAGTCGTATGTCAGCCAGTCATCGGAGGGATGTGTCTCTTAGCAAAGAAAGCAATATGGAGGAGAACTTCATTGTTATGTTCATACATGATCGGTTGCCAGAAAATATTTGGAGAGCAACTATGGTTCATAAACCGAGCTACATTTCCACTGTTCTTCGAGCCTATGGTTAGGGGATATGAGATATCATAATCTTCAGCAGCGTCGGAACTTTCCTCTCCTACTAACTCAGTTTCATAATTCCACTTGAAGGGTTCATAGACTCGATTTGTCTGGAAAATGTACTCATTGCTTTCACCATCTCTCCCGTCATGTCTTGTGTTAATTTCGTCAATAACTTCACCTGCATATTCATAGATAAATGTACCTGCACGAATAGGGTCCCATGATCACAGACCCCAACCCCTATCTTTCGTCTTAAAAACTTCAAAGCGAACCTTAAAGCCAGTCTGGGTAACCCTATTTTTGCAGTTAGGAAGGCAGGGGCACAAGGAGCCACATTCATATATCATCGGTTTTCGACACACTAGAATCCCATAAGCTGTGTAAGGTAAATCACCTCCATTCTTTTTAATGCAGCAGCAGTTTGAATTTTCGGCTAGGCACGCTTTACGATAATCACAACCAAAAGAAGGTTGCAATAGCTTGAATGATTTTG